CCCCAAAACCCCAAAACCCCAAAACCCCAAAACCCCAAAACCCCAAAGGGAGATTTTATATTGGATGGTATAATAAATATGGAAAATTACAATCCTTTAGCAGAGCTAGATATCCTTGAGACTACCAGCGTGAAGGAAATCTGTAAGACAGGGGCAAGGCCTCTAGTCCATCTCTATGGAAGCCCATATTTGCACAGACAGATTATTTCGTGAATTAATGATGAGCATGGCATTAAGAATAAAATGCCTGTAAGATATAAATCTCATAACTTTGATGACCTTATTGATATACAGCAGTATGATGAAGAGACTAGAGCTGATGGCATGTATAGGAAATCATGGTTCAAGAAGATCTATGATGATCTCCCTTCTGTTATTATTATGATTTATGACTGGTCGCAGGATGAAAGTGGAATTGGATGGAGTTATAGGGAAGATGAGATAAGGAGTAAAATCTCGCAACTTAAGGAGAGGTCGAGAGATGCTAAGATTATGCTCCTTGTGTTCTTAAGTGAGAAAGAAGACTTTAGTCTTCCTGGAAATAGAATTGAAAATAAAATTACTTCTTTGCGTAAGAATACAGAGCTGGAGCCCAAGGGAATATTCCTCGTGACCACTGGAGTTCAAGGATTTGCAAACCTATCTAAGAAGTTCGAAAGTACAATGCAAGATTATTCACTACACTTCTACAAGGACTTGAAATATCACACCAAACTCAAGCAGAAGCGAATCGCAAAGGATGACCCTCTCAACGTTAGGTACAACTTCAAGAATGGCTATTACACAGAAATTATTAAGGACTCCAACAAAGCAGTGAAGTTTTATCAAGGAGCCTACCAGTTGATCAAGGAAATTAAAGAAAGCAAATACAGCAAGTACTCTGGGACAGAACTTAGAGAGGTTGCAGATTTGATTGTCCTCAAGCTGTTTTACTGCTACTTCAGATTCTATAACATTGAGCCCGCATTGGCACTGTTCAAGAGTCATTTCGACTTGTTCTCAAGGAAAATACACAAAATGAAAGACAAAATTAAGTTCCTTGAAATCAACTGGCGCTATGAAACAATGAAAGAGTATGGAGTCATGTTGCAGAAAGCAAAGACCAACAAAACTGACAGGTTCAAAGACTTCTGGTACTATCCAGGATACTATTTCTTGAACTGTTTGCATTTGATCCAGCAGAAAATGAAGTTATTCCAGCTCCACAACTACACAACTGAGAATCCAGAGTCCGAGCAAGATGAAATTCCAGAAGCAAAGAATGATCCGATGCATCCAGCATTTACAAAGCTGAACTTGCTGTGGTTTGACCCTCATGAGTTCCAGTCGCAGTATCTGGTCAAGGAAAACGATTTCATCGGAAAGAACCCACTTATTTTCAAAGAGCCTGATGCCATGAGCGCTCTTGGAGGGCAGGACTTCAAAGACGCTCTCATCATGTACAAAGTGTATAACGAGCTCAGCTTCGATTATGGCACTGAGTTTGAGAGTCTCCTGACCAAGACCCTTGACTGCTACACTTCTCAGGCCAACGCAGAGAGAATGGTTGACTACATCCACTCTATGGCTTCGGACTTCTACTTCAAGCAGGAGGATTACCGCAAGTGTCGAGAAATGAAGTCTTTCGTGGCCAAGCGGCTTGCTCGTCAGAACTGGAACAATGTTGCTGTCGACTTGATCGAGAATGTGAAAGTGTGTTCTCTCAAAATGGATGACCACCGCAACTTCATTCACAACGAGTTCGAACTGATCAATGTTAAGAAAGAAGACATTGAGATCAAGAAACAGCGGCTTCAGAGAATTCTGACCAAGTTCGACGAGTCTAATCTTCAGAGTCAAATATTCACAATGAACAACCCTCTGATCAGCGTGTATGCCAGGTTTGACGTCAAGAGAGCAGAAATCTTCGACTCAGTGACTCTGTCCATCAGGATTGACTCTTCGATAGATCTCACTTTCAACAAGTTGTATGTAAACTTCAACGAGAAAGGCTTCAACAAAGAAATCTTTGACTCAGACGGAGGAGAACTCAAACTTCAGTCGTCTGTGCAGTATTCGAACGATCTAACTATTTTCGTAAAGTCTCAGATACAAGGGGACCTTAAGCTTGACTACGTGGTACTCGAGAAGAAGAATGGAGACAACACTCTATCTTTGCTGATCCATCCTTCACCCGATGTTAACTTTGACAGCCTCATCTTCGGAGATAAGAATGGAGATGAAATCAACCAGAAAGTTTCAGATGACCCTAACGAAGGACTCAGACTCAAGATTTCGGAGACTCGTCAGAAGGTAGAACTGGCTCTTGACTACAGAGAAAGAATCTTTCTCGGAGAACTGGTTCCTATTGACATGACATTCAAATCAAGCCAAGGATGTGAGATTGTTGACTCATATCTCTCGATTGTTGACATCAGCAATGACACTTCTTCAACTGGAGACCAGCAGAGAACAAGGTCAAAGTCTCAGATCAAGTTCAGAAAGTCAACCAGCATTCCGATCAAATGTGATGATGGAGCCACCAGCGATTTCCCTTTCGACATTGCGAACAGTCCTGAGAAGCAGCCTAAAGATGACTTTGTTCCCCATGTTTACTACTGTGAGGCCAGTGGAGACTCATTCGAAGAGTTCCCGAAAGATGAAGACTTGATGAGGGTGTTGAAAGAAGACAGCACCATTAGAATTCCAGACTTCAGCGAAAAGCAGCAAATGCGATGCAGGATTTGTCCGAAGTTCTACGAAGAAGGCCCTAAAGGTTTCAGACTTACCCTCAAGTACAAGATAGTCAAAGTGTATGAGGATGTCAGGAGTGACCCTATTCCAATGAGCATCACTAGAATCATCAAGCTGAGTTGAGAGCCTCCATTCAAAGTGGAACTAAACTACGAAGTCAAAGACTGGCTCACAAATGGGCTCAATGTCAGAGAGTCAGAGGCCAACCAGAGCCACTTAGACTCATTCATCAAAGTGCCTGTTGGAGAAGAAGTCCCACTATCCATTGATGTGACTTCGATCTCAGCAAAGCCCATTTCTATCAAAAATGTAGAGCTAGACATTTTAAGCACTGGCATGATATCTAAAGTGTCCAAGAATAAGTTTGAGCCAGTAGAGACTCTTGACGAAGGAGACACAATCTCAGCAGGGTTTGTGCTCAACGCCACCAAGGTCTCCAATGATACTGGACAGTACGGAGATGTCCTGATTGAATGGTCTCGGCTATCAGAATTCAAAGGAAATGTTCTTAGGAATATCTGAAGAGTGCCGACTCTGCCTTTGTCAATAGTTTCGTCACCGTTATGAGTGAAGATCAGCACTCCTGAGACTTGCTTCAACATCTGAGAAGTGTTTACACTTGAAGTCGAGATGAAGAACACGACTGAAATCAGCATGAATGTGTGATATGAACTGATCAATTCAAGGCAGGTCATAGTCTCTGGAGAAAGAAAATCATATATCAACTTAATGCCATTAGACTGTGAAGTATTTAGATACACTTGTATACCTCTCAAGAAAGGGCTGATCTCTCTTCCAGCTGTTAGAGTTGGGAAAGATGAAGGCTACCACTTTATATCCAAGGCTGCTCGAAATATACACGTGACTTAAAAATGGCTAATATTCAATTTAAGATTTAATATTGGGGTTTTGGGGTTTTGGGGTTTTGGGGTTTTGGGGTTTTGGGGTTTTGGGG